TTCTCCCCCCATTTTCGAAAGCCCCTAGAAGCCGAAAGCCTCCCTTTTTATACAGAAACAAAGAGAACCCTAATCCTTATCTAATTCTAAATTCTAATCTCAATCCCCAAAATTACAGATAATGATCTAGCCCTATTCAAAATTGGAATTCTAAAACTAATCTATTCCTTTGCACATCTTCCCTCTTTCAAGGCTTGATTTATACCTTTTAAAGATCAAGACTCCCAATTTGAATTGACTTCGAATACTTCTTCTCCAATTCTTGATAAGGACTTCAAATCCAGATATTCCTTCATATTGATGTGGTAACCTATCTTGAATCGAGTAGATTTAGGGATAAATTGAAGGAATTTGGGAATTTGGGAGAGTGGCTAACGACAAGGAGAATCGAGAAAGTTGGGGCTAGGGTTCATTTGAACCCAGCACCTCCTTTTTTTATTTTTTCAACCTTTAAGCAAAACGACATCATTTTGCTAACTCTTCCCCTCAACCCTTCAGGTTTCTTGTTTTTACAAAAGTAGTGCATAGATTTCTAACCTTATCACTTTGCCCTTGAAAAAAATTGGGTTATGACAAAAATATTTTTATCGATCCCTCCCTTTGATAAAAAGAAAGATCTATTCATACATAAATTTTACATATTATATTTATACAAAATCTCAATTATTCATCGCTATTTTTAATTATTGAGATTTATTGTAACTTTTTAAGTGAAAAAGATAATTATTTTTAATAAATGTGAATAAATTACACACAACCAGAAAGGAAAAGATGAAAATGTCTTGAAACCTCGAAATGTTACTTATGCATCTCAGCCAATTGTTTTTATGACAATCGATTCCACGTTCCGTTGAAGAATTATAGAATTCTATAACTATGACTGGAACATATTTTGGTTATTCAGCTATTTAGTAAAACGTTGTAAGCAATCCATTTCAATTTGTTTTGGGTTGAAGGGTTTGCTTAAGCAATGGGCTTCAACACATACATTCTGCACGCGTGACCATCGATAGTCGTGGTCCGGTTGCCAATAAATTTTTCCTTTAATGTCGTATGCTGCATGGCATAGATAAAATGTACATTAGAAGTTAGAAGAAAAATGATATAATCAATACTAGGGCTTATTGGTCCCCAAAAATTAAAAAAAAAAAAGTATGGCTTATTATAGCTATGGAATACCTCCCAAAGGTCTCTTGCTTCAACAACAGTTTTAGGAGAAAGTCCAATGTCATCCCAGCGAGCTGTTATTGGAGAACGCAACAAACCCCGATTGAGTAGGACTACTGCTACTCTGTAGCTGGAAAGTGGTGCCGCGCAAACCTATTGGAAAGCAAACATAAATGATGTTTCTTAACGAATATGAAAATAGGATAACAAAAATGTGAATTGAAAAAACAGCTGTTGTGAATTTTACCTCAACATCACCTTCCATCCTAACTTTCTTAGCTTGAACACCATATGAATCTAGTGTAGATGATAACAGGAAGCCAATACTTAGATAACCTACTGATCTCTTTCCTTTGAAGACAGTGATTATAGAAAGGTTCTTGTCAATACCTTGGTTAACAGCAACAACCTCTTGATTTGCTACAATATCAGTTGTGTCTTTTGTCATGTTTCTCACATCACAACCAAGAAGAAATGGAGCCTGGAATACCATAAACACATTTATACACACATTTAGATACAAGAAGCAGGCCTAAAGAAGAAAATATTATCCCCACTACCTTGGAAATGGCCCATAAGCTAAAATGTACAATGTATTCACTTTTGCTCATCCCTCCATTCCCCACCTCAAGCATGTCAGAATCTATAGAAACAAGTAAGGCATCATGACAAATAATCTCAAACATAAACTCAATACCAAAAAGGAAAAAAATAATAATAAAGAGGGAATTGCCAAGAATTTCTCGATATGATTGTGCTCGTTAAACTCTAACCATTCCAACCACCAGGCCTTGCATATGAAGCATAAACTTCATTCTGGTCTGCTCTAGAAACCATGCTGTAAAGGGGGAATATTATTAGTTTAGATCGGTGGCTGAGATCTTGGATAACCATAAAACAAGGTCCCTCAGAATAAGTTTTTACCTATCCCAATTATCGTGTATGTAATTTGTGGTTCTCCAACTATTTCCTACTAGAGCACCCCATTCAGCAGGGTGCATATCTCCCCTACAACATAAAGGAAATGAAAAGGAAGGAATTTAACAAATTAGCTAGATCAGAAAATTTGTTGTTGTGATTTAAAAGAAGTACCATTCACATAATGAGAAGAAGATGGAGCAGCCTGCATTCCTCAGAGCACGGGTCATCACAGGATATCTGCACAAATGAATATAAGAAATACACTAAGACAGATAAAATTTTAGATATTAGCTGCTGATGGGAAAAACATACTGAATTACCTCTCAGTTGGCTTTGTTCCACCATTGTTACAGTTATCATACTTCAAATAGTCAATACCCTTCAAAGAACATGCATTTTTTAAACATTTTTTTATAGTCTATGAGTGTTGATAAATTTAGCTGCTCCAGTTATATCGCAATCCCAGGTAATGTAAACATAAACAATATAAATATGGAGATCTGATGTATAAAATAAATACTGAAATTAATACCCATTCAGCAAAGGTCTTGGCATCTTGTTCCTCATGACCAAGAGAACCAGGCATCTGTTTGCTGCAAGTAAAATATCTGGAAAATAAACAAGAATGGATGTATTAGCTCTAGAACCAAAATCATTGAAAGTTTGCAACTTATATCTCTCTGATTGTGGCCAAAGTTAAATTACCCTGCATCTGAGTATATTCCAAGCTTAAGACCTTTGCTGTGAACATAATCTGCTAGAGCTTTTATTCCAGATGGAAATGTTGATTTCTTTGGCATTAGATTACCCTGCAATTGATTCAGCAGTTATTTCCTCTGCATTTCTCTATGTCAAGGAAGAAAATAATCTAAAAAGAGAAAGGGAAAAAATACCTTGTCATCTCGGTTTATTTCAGCCCAGCATCATCTAAGAACACATAACATGTTGAACTATTTTTTCGGCAGCTTAATATGAATGGAAAGAAAACCAGAAAAAGGAACTAAAGATGCTGCAGCGACATACCTATGTTAACATATTTATATCCAAGCTTGTCTAGTCCGGTTAAAACCAAAGCATCAGCTGTCAAATTTATGAAAATCGAAAATGACATTCTGTGTTTAGACAGTAATGATGGCTTTTCTTCTTATGCTCTAACACATACCGGTTTCTTGGATGATTTTTTCATAATATTGCATCCAAAATGATTCCAACTATTCCACCTAAACAAAAAGAAAACCCAGAACCAGATTAACACAAATTTTGCAAAAGACAACAATAAAACCCACATAAAAAGTAAAGCTGATTGAGAGAAAATACAACTCCAAATCAACCTCCCAACCAATAACTCGCTCCCCCATGTCCACATCATGCCATTATAGAAAGGCAAACCAAGCAAAAATTACGGTAGAAAGAGCAGAACTACTCCTTAGTCCAACATGAATAAAGTTCCTCAATCTTGAAATTGATCGGCAGACTAAATCCCATCACTCCTTGTTCCCCTATTATGGCACGTGCTAATTAATGTAATAATCATTTCCAATCTTCTTATGCCATCCATTTCACTCTAAAGAAAACAGTGTGAATTTAAAAGGAAAGATGGCATGAGTGGTTTAAACCCAAAAAGATCAAAACTTTCTACAGATCAAACAATTAAAGAGGAAAAAAGATGAATGAAAATGTATCAAATTGTGCATATAATTGTATACAAGGCATTTTACTATAGTGTGATACTCTACCCCATTGGAGGAGTCATGCCAAGGCCATTAGAAAGCAGATTTCTGCTGACTTGCCCATTATGATGACTGAGTGTCCGGTCAGTCACTGTTCTTGCAGCAGTAGCAGCACCAACCAGCATTAGCACCACTGTTGCCAGCACCAAAACGCCACAACGCTTCTTCTCCATCTCTGCTACTCCCCCTCTTCCCCCTTGCTAAAACTAAAAGTAAAAGGTGAAACCCACCCTGCCTAATCAATTATTTAGTATGGGTAAGGGTGAGTTACAGAGTCTTGAGTTTTGAAGAAAGAATACACCATAAGAGCTGTATTTATTGGGCAGAAGGTGCAATTCAGCCCCTCTACGTCCATTGTTGTGGCACATCAGCCCCTCTACCTAAAAGTAGAGCAAATAAGCCCCTCCACTTGACAAAACCCGCAAATCAGCCCTTCTGCTGACGATGACCTCATCAAATGTCATCTTTCCGTCCACATCCTTGTTACTCCGTTACCAAGAAATGGCTTGGTGCTGATGTGGCATTGGGTAGGTGACGTGGTCAATTTAAACTGCAAAATTATTAAAGAATTCTCATCTACTTTCTTTTCTTCCATTCATCTTCTCTCTCCTCCTTTACATTCTCTCTTTTCATATTACAGATTTACTTTTTTTTTTTCAATAGTTTAAATTGAAATTTTTTTAAGATAAATCTAAACTTTAAAAAATTATTAAAGTAATCCTCAAAATATGAAAATATAAAAGTTAAAAAAAAAATTTAATCCTCAAAAATTAAAATTTTAATTTTGAAAATTTTTTTTAACTTTTATATTTTCATATTTTAAAGATTTTTTTAATAATTTTTTAAAGTTTAGATTTATTCGAAAAACATTTCAATTTAAACTATTGAAAAAAAAGAAGAAGTAAATCTGCAATATGAAGAAAGAGACGGTAAAGGAGGAGAGAGAAGATGAATGGAAGAAAAGAAAGTAGATGAGGATTCTTTAGTAATTTTGCAGTTTAAATTGACCACGTCACCTACCCAATGCCATATCAGCACCAAGCCATTTCTTGGTAACGGAGTAACAAGGATGTGGATGGAAAGATGACATTTGATGAGGTCATCGTCAGCAGAAGGGCTGATTTGTGGGTTTTGTCAAGTGGAGGGGCTGATTTGCTCTACTTTTAGGTAGAGGGGCTGATGTGCCACAACAATGGACGTAGAGGGGCTGAATTGCACCTTCTGCCGTATTTATTGGGGAATTTTGATTTAGCTGAATTAAAAGTTAAGCCCTCGAACTTGTAAGGCTGTCAGTTTTAATTCCTTGAACAAAAAAGACAACATATAAGCCCCCAAAACTACGAAAGCTCGTCAATTTGACCTTAATTTAACGGCAAAATGGCATGTGACATCATGCGCCGTTCATCGCTAGCTTGCTTCATTTTTGAATGGTATATATAGCCAGAGTTGATTATATAAAATCTCTTTTCGATTTTAATTATTTTTTAAATTTATTTTAATGATAGTTAATTATTAAAAAATATTATAATTATTAGTATGAAATTGTTATTATCATTACAATTAATAATATATCAATTTTAATGGAATATATTTTATGTGAAATAATAAGTTAGTATAAAAGCTATGAAATTTTATATTAAATTGATTAGTTACATCTTAGTGCTAAATTAGTTCATAATTAAGAAAAAAAATATTTTATGATGAAGATATATAAAGTATGTGACATCATAAAGACAAATTCAATAAGTAAAATTAATTTGATGATAGAAAATTTAAGCGTTAATATTCTTTTGATGTTGATTTTTTCCACTTCTCTCTTAATCTCCAAAAATACCCCCAAAATCTAGTCTTGAATGATTAATTATAGACATTAAAAGATAAAAATAATATAATTATAATATCAAATAACGCAAAAACTACTTTTTAAATAATAGTCTAGGGTCTTGCACTTATTCCCTTGCAAAATTGTATTTACCCCACCATTTAATGATATCTATTTCTTTGTCCTAATAAATAACCATTGATTAGGGGATTTTAATTACTTTCTAAAAGGGGTGATATAGTTGTTCTAATTTAACTTTGAAATACTGTTAAAAAAAATTTTAACTTTGAAATAAAATTTGTTTAGAAAATTATATATAGTAAATAAATAGCAATTAAAAGTTTTTCTTTTTAGACATAGTTATTGCTAAGTATTTTTCCTTAACTTAAAAACATGGCTTAATGTTACTAAAAATCCTCAAACTTAACAAAAAGAGCCATTATTATCCCTCCACTTGAAAAGAATTCATATAAATCCCTAAACTTTGGAGAAAGGGCCAACCATCATCCTTTCTTGACAGAGATTGTAACGTCATCCACCCTGCGTTAAAATTTTCTAAATTTTAACACTAAAATAACATTGTTGGTACCTTAATTTTAGGTTTTTATACACTTTAATCCTCAACTTTAGACTATTGATTTTGGTCCCTAATTTCAATTTTTCTTATTACAATGTAATCTATAAAACATTTGAAACCATTCCAGTTGAAGTTTCAAAATTTCTAAGTTCATATATTTTAATTTTTTTACACAAATAATAGAAATTATGTAACTTTTAATAAAGTCATGTTTAACTCATTTAAATATCAATAAAATTAAGGTAAAATAGTAAGTTAAAATACTTAAAAATTCATATCATCAAGGTGCAAAATCAAGTCTTTGGTACTTATTTTTGTCCCAAAAAAGTCATTGATATTGAATTTGAAATCTCATAAAGTATTACAATTAAAGTAATGAAGTTACAAATGATATGAATATAACTTGTGAGTGTGAGGTAAATGTAATCATATGAATATCATGGATAAATAATAACTTTGAGAACTATTTCTATGGGTTTAGGTATATAACAACAAAACAAAAGTAAATTATC